GTAAATTATATAAGTTCAAATTCTTTAATATACTCTCCCTTTTTAGTATCTTTTTAGAAATGAAATAAATTTCTCAATTATATCTGCCAGCTTAAAAAAAAGTTCTACCTTTTAGTGATTTAACCAATGTTTTAATTTATTTTTAAGCCAGAATACCTTTTAATTCATGATCTTCTCTCCCAATATATATATGGGAGTGTGTATATATATGTATATATGGGTGTGTATATATATGTGTGTGTATATATGTATGTGTGTGTGTATACATACATACATACATATATATACTTATATATATATATTGCATATGTATATTTCTTCAAAATTTCCTCACCTGGTTTCAAATCACTGGCTGCCTTGTGAGGGTACTTTTCCATTCTATATGTTTCTTTTCTTGTGTCTTTGTGTTGCCTCTCTTCAAACTAATAGTCATTCTTATTGTATGTTCATTTAGGGAGTTGATAATCACTTTGCAACTTTTTTTTTACACATAAATTAGAGTAAGCATTACTACTTGTTCCAGTTGAGAGAAAGTTGACCCACCTGGCTGCTTCTATAAATGTCCTAAATATTTTCTCTGTCAATTGCCATTAATTTCTGTGATATAAAGGTGAAATTATGTTGCTCATTGCCATATTCTTCAGCAAATGATTCCATGTGTATTTTGTACAATAGTTTTCTTTTTTCTTTTCAACCTCATATTACATGATTTCATAGTTCCTGGATTTTCAGAAACTTTTCAGTTCTCTTTGGGAGTTTCATGAGTCATCCTTGTAGTTTTCTAGTGTGAATGTATGCACCTGTCTCTGCATGTCTGCGTGTATGGTTTCAATTGTATTAATATGCCAACTTATATTTTTGACCCTTTTAATGCTCATAGACATGTGTATTTATTCTATACTTACTAAGGAAACTGTGGATATGGAGTGAATGAGGGAAGTGTAACTTGTGTTCAGTCTGCCTTCTTCCTTATTGAATGCAGATCCCATAGACTTTTAATCCTTCCCTTTATTATTTTGTGGGAATAATTCAGATTTGTATTCTCAGACAGCTTTTATAACTTTTTTCCTTTCAGCACTTCTCTTCCCTTTCTGTAATTCTTCAAAATATTTATAATAAAATTACATTAGTTTTAACATTCACAGAAAAGCAGGTGTGATTTCAAGATAACAAAGGTGACAATGGACACTTTATAATGATAAAGAGGACACTACATCAAGAAAATGTAATATTTCTTAATATATGCACCCAACCAGGAAGAGCCAAAATATATAAAGCAAACCCTCACAGAAGTAAAGGGAGAAACAGATCAAAACACAATCATAGATGGGGAACTTAATACTCCATTGAAAGCTCTAGATATATCAACCAAACAGAAAATCAATAGTTATCAGCCTTAAATGACACACTACACCAAATGTACATAACCGACATTTACAGAGCCCTTCATCCCAGAACATCAGATTATACATTCTTCTCTAGAGCACATGGAACATTCTCAAGGGTAGATCATATGTTGGGTCACAAAAGTAGCATCAACAAATTCAAGAAGATTGAAATTATACCAAGCATATTCTCTGACCACAATGCCTTGAAATTAGAAATCAACTGCAAAAAGGAAGTAAAAAATCCCACAAATACATGGAGATTAAACAACATACTGCTAAAAAATGACTGGTCATAGAAGAAATAAGAGATGTAATCAAAAGATATATAGAGACAAATGAGAATGGCAATACAACATATCAAAAAACTTCTGGGATGCAGAGAAAGCAGCGATAAGAGTGAAGTTTATATCACTACAGGCCTATCACAAGAAACAAGAGAAATCTCAAGTAAAAAACCTAACATCACATCTTAAAGAACTAGAAAAAGAAGAAGAAAAGCAACCCAAAGTCAGCAGAAGAAAATCATAAAAATTAGAGAAGAATTGAATGAAATAGAGAACAAAAAGACTATGCAAGAAAATTAATAAAACAAAGGGCTGGTTCTTTGAAAAGATTAATAAAATTGACAAACCAATGGCTGAACTCAATAAGAAAACAATGGAAAAGACACATATAAATAAAATTAGAAATGAGAGAGGAGAAGTCACCACAGACATCACAGATATACAAAGGATCGTACTAGAATATTATGAAAGACTACATGCCACCAAATCCAATAACCCAGAAGAAATGGATAAGTTTCTAGAAATATATAACCTTCATAGATTAAATCACAAATAATTGGAAAATCTAAATAGACCAATCAATAGGGAGGAAATTGAAACAATCATTAAAAATCTCCCAGAAAATAAACATCCAGGACCAGATGGCTTCACCAGTGAATTCTACCAAACATTCAAACAAGATTTAAAACCTGTCCTTCTCAAACTCTTCCAAAAAACTGAAGAAGAGGCAATACTTACTAATACATTTTATGAGGCCAATATAACCCTGATATACAAATCTGGCAATGGTAACAAAAAAAAGAAAACTACAGACCGATATCTTTGATGAATACAGATGCAAAAATCCTAACCAAAATACTTGCAAATCAAATACAACAATATATCAAAAAAATAATACATCATGATCAAGTGGAGTTCATTCCAGGGGCACAAGAATGGTTCAAATACACAAATCAATCAATGCAATACACCGCATTAACAAAAGGAAAGATAAAAGTCATATGACCTTATCAATAGATGCAGAAAAATCACTTGATAAGATACAACTTCCATTTATGATTAAAACACCCAATAAAATAGGAATAGAAAGTACCTCACCATAATAAAGGATATATATGATAAAGACTCAGCTAATATCACTCTCAATGTAGAAAAACTGAAAGTTTTTCTTCTAAGATCAGGAACAAGACAAAGATGTCCAATATCACCACTCTTATTCAATATAGTTCTGGAAATTCTAGCCAGAGCAATAAGACAAGAGAAAGCAGTAAAGGCATCCAAATAGGAAAGGAAGAAGTAAAACTGTCAGTTTTTGCAGATGATTTGATTCTGTATATAGAAAACTCTAAAGATACCACCAAGAAATTATTAGAAATAATAAACAAATACAGTAAAGTTGCAGAATACAAAAATCAATGTACAAAAATCCATTGCCTTCCTGTATACTAACAAAATTTCAGAAAAAGAAATGAAAAAGACGATTCCTTTTGCAATTGCAACCAAAAGAATGAAATATCTAGGAATAAACTTAACAAAGAATGTGAAAGACCTACATACCAAAAATTACAAAGCATTATTAAAAAACATTGAAAAAGACACAACAAAATAGAAAAATATCTTGTGTTCATGGATTGGAAGAATCAACATAGTTAAAATGGCCATACTAACCAAAGCAATATACAGATTTAATTACAATCCCCATCAAAATATCAATGTCATTTTCTAAAGAACAAGAAACCATCAGATTTGTATGGAACCACAAAAGACCCTGAATGGCCAAAGCAATCCTGAGAGAAAAGAACAAACCTGGAGGTATCACACTACCTGACTTCAAATTACACTACAGATCTATGAAAATCAAAACAGCATGGTATTGGCAGAGAAACACACACAGATCAGTGAAACAGAATAGAGAGCCCAGACATGAAACCACATGTATATGACCAGATAGTTTTCATCAAAGAAACCAGAAACACACAATGAAGTAAAGATAGTTTTGTCAATAAAGAGAGCTGGAAAAACTGGAAAGCCACATGCAAAAGAACGAAACTGGATTACAGTTTGTTCCCATGTACAAAAATTAATTCAAAATGGATCAAAGACCTAAAAAGAAGACCTGAGACAATAAGTTACATAGAAGAAAACATAGGTACAAAACTTATGGGACTGGGTCATAGAGAACATTTTATGAACTTGACACCAAAGGCAAAGGAAGTAAAGGCAGAAATAAGTGAATGGGACTATATCAAACTAAAAGGCTTCTGCACAGCAAAAGAAACTGACAACAAAACCAAGAGGCAGCCAACCAATGGGAGATGATATTTGCAAGCAGTAGCTCCGACAAAGGTTTAATTTCCAAAGTTTATAAAGAACACTTAAAACTCAACACCAAACAATCCAATCAAAAAGTGGGCAGAGAACTTGAACAGACACCTCTCCCAAAAAGACATATAAACAGCCAGTAGATATATGAAAAGGTGTTCAACCACACTAGCAGTTGGAAAAATGCAAATCAAAACTACAATAAGATACCACCTCACACCTGTTAGAGTGGCTATGATCAACAAGACAGGCAATAACAACAGTTGAAGAGGTTGCGGAGAAAAGGGAACCCTCATTCATACCTGGTAGGAATGTAAACTGGTACAACCACTATGGAAGGCAGTCTGGTGATTCCTCAGAAAATTAAGAATAGAGCTACCATAGGACCCAGCAATCCCTGTCCTGGGTATATACCCAAAAAACTCAAAAACATGTATTGCAAAGATATATGCACTCTATGTTTATTGCAGCATTATTCATGGTGGCCAGACATGGAAACAACCAAAATGTCCTGTGATAGAGGACTGGATAAAGAAGGTGTGGGACATGTACACAGTGGAATACTACTCAGCCATAAGGAAGGATGAGAGACTGCCATTCATAACAACATGGATGGACCTTGAGAATATTAAGCTAGGTGAAATAAGTCAGTCAGAAAAAGCTAAGAACCACATAATTTCACTCATATGTGGGATATAAAATTGAAACTCATGGACACAAACAGCAGTGTGGTGGTTGCCAGAGAGAAAGGGGTGGGGAGTGAAGGGGGTCCTAATATATGGTGAAGGGAGAAGATTTGACTTTGGGTGGTAGGGCACACAGTGCAATATACAGATCTTGTAACATAGAAACCCATACCTGAAACCTGTACGATATTGACCAGTTTCACCATAATAAATTTAATAAGAATTACATTATTTTAAAAAATCACAACTATGTATCAACATCTATTTTTTTTCAGTTTCCAGAAAAATGCATATACAGTAAATCAAATTATAATAAATACCTTGACCAAATGTATCCATACATTGTTTTCTCTCACTTATACAATGTCCATTAAAGCAGAGAAATTGATTTTGGTCACATGGCATACCATTGTGAACATACAGGTCCTCTGGACATGAGTCAGATGATCCATTGCAATATTCAGCTAGGTCACATTCATCATAGGCAGCCCTGCATTCCTCTCCTTTTGATACAAACTGATGGTGTAAGGTACATGATATTGAATGAAGCAGAATATAAACATATAGATGTCATAAAGAATGAAAACTTTACTTATATAAGTAATATAGAAATTTAAAAAGACTCTTACCTTACAATTCTCACAGCATAGTCCCGTGTCACAATTGTTACCAGGTTTTATTGTACATGAGGCAGCGTCACAGCATGAACTTGGCATTTCAGCACACTCCTGAAAGGCAAACCAAATGCTTTTAAATATCTTCCAACTTTTATTTACAATGGATACATGTTTTAATGATGTCAACCTCATATAATATATATTATATATACTATAGACAGATGCTTAGCATACATGTTGGTCAACAAAAAATTTAAATCACTTATTTATTCATGCATTTAATAGATATTTATCAGTTACCTACAATGTGTGTAACTAATACTGTGAGTTTTTTATATCCCTAGAGGGGGTTTGACTATATTGGTAGTAGAATTTTCTGAAATCTTGGAGGCCATCAAAGCCAGCCTCCAGGAGCTCTCTAGCTCTTGTAGAAAGAGATAGTTAAATACAAGACATGAAATGAAAGTTACAATTTAACAATTTCATTAGAGTGACTAGTTCTTACTCATCCTTTATCAATCTACTGTATTTTAATAAGTCAGTAACTTTTATGAGATATTCAAAGTTTATTTTACTTTTAATTCTCTAAAGATGAAGAACTAGAAAATGTTTCTTAACATGACTGAAATCATCACTTTTACATCACTCATCCATATTTCATGATGACTTGTGTTTATGCTGTCATTCATCTATGCCAAGTGATTCTATTTCTTTTAAGTTATATTATTAGGCTTAATAAAAGCAACATATAAGAAAGGAGAAAGTTGGTGAGATGATATATTCACACATGCACATACACATGCACACACACACATACACACACAAATTTTTAAAATTCCCAAGGATTTTAAAAAGGGTTGATTGGGCCAAAAATTTCAATAAGTTATAAGCAGCTTTTTGTAATGTTTCTGTGGGTAAGAAAACCAGCTTTTATGGATTATGTATGACCTTTTTGACTTAAAGATTTTCCCAGATTAAAATACCCAAAACTAGAAATGTGCCTCCTATGTTTTCTTACTCAATTGTAAAGCCTCTATATCTTTCTGAATGAAAGAGGATTTTAGGTTAAGAATAAATACGAGGAAAATACACAAGAGGGGCAGTTTAAACCTAGGTCAACTCAACTATAGTATTAATGACCTAGAAAATCACTTATACAGATAATCTACAAACCACTAAATCTGTACATCAATATATAAGTGCACTCATTATTTTATTAAAATCCCTATATGCTTTCTTAAGGTTTTTGTAGAAAACTAAGTTTAATAAATTATTAAAAATAACAGTGTAACACTATAAAAATGATTTTTGATGCAATTCTAGTATGCATTGTTTCAAAGTAGTACTGACCTCTGGAGTCCCACAGTCACATGCTTCTCCTTCTTCCACTATTTTATTACCACAAACTGCAGCTTTGTATGATGGATCTAAAGGTGGATGATTTTGAAGACAATGGGATTTTGGCTTTGAAATAAAACGTGCAAAATCTTCCATGCTGCAGTTACTAAAGAACTTCACACCACTGGAATGACTAAAAAATACATTAAACTTCAAATTTTTATGTAAGCATTGAATCCATAAACTGCCTAATCTGGGAATAAGGCTACTTAACAACATTCGATAGCAGACAAAATGCTCAATTTTGTTAGTGTCAACTGAAAAAAATTAAATATTTTTAGTAGAAATAAATAAAATGTTGTTGGATCTTCTATTACAGTTATCTGTGACACTGTTTTCTTTTGCAGCTTCTAAGTTCATCTGTTTCATTTTTGTTCCTGTTCCTTTCATGACTTCTAAATATTGTAATATCCTTGTATTGACAAAGGAGATCGAGGTTTTCCACTTCTTCATACTTACTCACAGGTAATCTTTTTGAGTTCTAGATTTTAAATAACGCCAATACCTAACAACTCAGATATTTGTTTTCCTAATTCAAACTTATCACCTAAACTCCAGAGTCCAATACCCAATTATTTACTTAGTGTTTACACAGAGATAACTTTTTTAAGCACACATCTAGCACACTACCCCCTTACTGCTCTTTATTCCCTTAGTGACACTGATTTTTCTTAAAAATATTTATCAAAAACTGGAATGTTAATTATTGAATTATTTATTGACTATCTTTTCCTACTAGTTTTTTAGCTCTAGGGAAAAGGCATTTTCGATGATTTTGTTCACTAGCAGAAAGCTAAGAACTCAACAATGATTTAAAAGAAAATGAAATGCATGCATGGTTAAAACTGTTAAATAGTAGATTTTTTGGTTGCTGTTTCACTATAATTTTTATTATTCTGAATAGTATTAACAAGGAAAAAGGTTATGCCTAGCCAGTGCTACTGGTTGACCCATGAACCAAGAGATAACCAGTTCCATTCCCAGTCAGGGCACATGAGCAGGTTGGGGGCTCCATGATCCCCAATAAGGGGTGCGCAGGAGACAGCCAATAGATGTCTCTCTCTCATCGATATTTCTGTCTCTCTCTCTCTCTCCCTTTCCCTTCCTCTCTCTCTAAAGTCAGTACAAAATATTTTTTAAAAAACTGTAATCATGAAGGTCTGTAATTTGATGACAGATACAGCTAATATGAAGTTATTGATTTTTTTTTTTAAAGCCATAGACTCAAACCCTAGTCATTCAGATTATTACAGGAAAATGTTATTCCTATGAGGGCTATAAATTAGGGAGATTTGAACAAACTACCAGTTTTGATATTTTTTGCTGTTGTTGTCACATCCTGGTTGAACATACCCTTCAGTTATATTAACCATAATTAATGGATTTATTATTACATTGCCAACAATTCAGATAACTTCTAAATATGAAAAACCAAAAGGAGAGAAAACAATACAACTTAAATATTACTAAGAACCAGGCAATGCAAGGTATGTTTGTTATGTATGAACTGGTCCATAGGGGATACATTTTCTGGTAATGAATTATTAATGTTTTCATTAAGAAGAAAATATCAATCATAATTATATCCAATTGGAGAATTTATTTGCAGTTTGAATATTTGCACAGATTTTCTGGATATTCCCATTTCCCATTCTCTCATTTTTTTTCTTTTTTTCTTTTTATTTATTTTTATTTTTGTTTAAAATATTACAGATGTCCCTTTTTATCCCCAATGACCCATTCCACCCCATCCCTTCTCCCTCTCCAGTCCCTCTCCCCATTTTTTGTGTCCTTGGGTTGTGCGTATATGCATATAAGTTCTTTGGTTACTCTCTCCCCCTCCACGCACCTGCCCTCCTCCATGCCTCTGACATTCATGAGTCTGATCTTTGCTTACATGTCATTTTACCTTGATAATAGAACCTCTGATTTTCAGTTCAATACATAACTTCCTTGCATAAATGCCTACATTTTTTAGCTTTTTGTAAAATTAGGAGTAGGCGGATATAAATGTTAGATAACTAATTTAAAATGAAGCTATATATTTAAAGTTCTAGGAAATAACGTTGACAGCCATGCTTTTATGTGACCCTTTATTCTCTTAGTGACTATAAACTTGGCTAATTTAATTTTGTAGTTAAAACTTCCATCATGAGTTATGACATTATTTTAGAAATGGAAGCCATTATGCAGAAATCACTGTGAAATTACAGTGTGAAATGCTACATATTTAATTTTTTATTCCAACTAATATATTAAGAAGACCTTTTCTTTAAACAAGGCAGGTTTTTCTTTCTCTTGAAGCCAGATTTAGGGAACCCGCATTTGGCCATTGGTGAGAAGTGACTGAGAAATATCGGTATAATAGATGTAAGTGCCATGGGGATTTGAGATTCCTGTCTGTGTTATTTACTTGCACTACCTGGATCATTTTTAGCTTGTTCCCAAATAGACCATTTTGGTCATCAGGTAGATTAATATGCCTGTTTGATCTTATAATTCTGTGGATCTGAAAATACACAAATTATGATGAAAATATTCAACTTCAGTAACACAGTAACTTAGTGTTTCCCAGATGCATGCTCAACTCTACAAGGGTCCAGTAGCCCAGCAGGAGCTGAAACAGTACTCTAGGAGTCTGCACTACAAACCTTTGATACTTGTCAGAGATTCCACATGAAGCCTAATCTACCAGGAATATCTTTAGTTTTATTGTATCTTAATGGTCATAAGTACCAAAGAACAAAGCATCTTGCATCAAACCCAGCACCTGCTGCAGTGCCCTGTCTGTACATCATCTCCTGCCAAAGGTGTCCTTATTGCAATCAGATCACTTACCAACCCAGTGCAACAATCATTTCACTTCTGGGATAACTATTTTTATATGGGTTCTTCCCAAATCAGAGCCTGAAATAAAACTTTGAATGCAAGTAGTTTGAAGAAATGATTGTGGAAGCAGGAGTGAGGGAAGCTATCAAGTTTGCTGCTGTAAATAATTAGGCTTGATTTTCTAAGACATCTGAAAAGCAGAAAATGTCTCCAAAAGTGTCCCTCAGAAAGATAAGAGGCTGGCTCCAGCAACTGACTGGATAATGGGTTCCCTAATCCCTGACTGTTTGGTCCTAATTTTATAAAATTTCATATTACACACTAAGAATAATGATGGTAACAGCAAATTCATAGTTTTTTTTTTTGTTTTTTTGTTGTTGTTTTTAACCCTCACCTGAGGATATGTTTTTTGTTTGTATTTTTTCCCCATTGCTTTTCTGAGAGAGTGGAAGAGAGAGAAAGAAACATCAATGTGAGAGAGACACATTGATTGGTTGCCTCCTGCACGTGCCCCGACCAGGGCCAGGGATCAAATCTGCAACCGAGGCATATGTCCTTGACTGTAATTGAACTTGAGACCCTTTAGGCGGTGAGCTGACACTCTAACCACTGAGCAAAACAGGCTAGGGCAAATTCACTAGGTTTTACGGCATGATAAGGGTAGTGAAAAATGCCTCTTGTAATAACAAAGAAAAAGCTGAATAACAGCATCTAGGAAATTAATAGATGCCAAGACCTCAGGCTGACCCAGGGCAGAATGAAGGAGATTTATGCAGATAAGACCATACTAATCAATCATTCTTGTACAGTGATCACAAGCCAGTATTTGGCTTACCTTCTCAGGCCTTAAATTATAAAATCATGTAAGTAAAAATAGTGATAAATGTAGTGTTAGATCACATATGACAAAGCAAGTGTGACATTAGATTAGGAAATATTGAGATAGATATTTGGGACTTGGATTATATATTTTGATCAGGAGATCATTGGTCACAGCTTATATTTGACCAGTTTTAATTATTTTAACAGCTTAGACTTTAAATACACCAAACTTATTTTCATATAAACTATATGTGTAAAACATAAAAGTAAAGCATCTTACATTGCTTCTGGGTTCATTATACAGACAGCTCCTGAGCACTGGCATTTGTCAATGTCATCATAAGCTATTCCCATATTAAGGCTCAGTAATTGAGATACAACAACTGAAAGTGATTCCAGACTTATGGCTTTGGGGTGCTGAAAAAAAACCACAAAAAACATGTGCACACTAATATTTTAGGACATAATTCATTTGCTGGGAGAATAATGTAATTATTAAAAATAGTCACATGACAAAATGGAATAGAGGCTTCCACAGAAGTGCCATCCACGTTGGCCTAATTTGTTATGGGTACCGTCATCAATATGAAAAATATGAATAATGAAATCTGAAATATTACCAAAATGTAAATGTATGATTCATTTGGTGATATCAAAACAGGATAAGAATTGCCCCAATAACATAAGTATATAATAATTATAGTCATATTTGTACTAACAAAAATGTAAAGACACACACATATACACAGTGTCAAATTATTAATAGGTTGTGCTCATTTATAATTTGATTATTTAGAGATGATATTTTACATAAATATTTCATACTTTTAAAAAATCATAAATTAGTCCATTGAATTAATTTATATTGTGGGAATAACGACTGATAATGAGAATGCCAACTTTCTACGGTTGTGTAAACAATTTTCAAAACCAAAATGCTCTTATCATTCTCTCTTTGTAAATGTAAGATGCTTGTATAGCACATTTTGACTGTACTAAAACATATGAAGTTTAAGAAAAATCCACTAGGTCTTCAAATATATCTAATGACATTTTTGTGAGTATACTTCAAGATAGTTTTCCAGGAATACATTTTGGTATATTATGTTTGCTTCTCTAAATCAACTTTCTATCATTTTCCACCCTGCTTTCTAGTCCAGGATGACACCAAAGGATTCTATCAAGAGGTTCCTTTGCCCTCTGCTTTGCTTTGGTCTAATGGGGAGGAGAGGGTGAGAAAAGAGCAAGGTATTTATTACCATCGTTATCAGGGTGCCTATGACTGTCTGAACCCCTGAGTAGAGGTTTCTACATTCTGTCTGTGACCTTAATAGAATGACTCTGTCCTTTCCTTCAAGCTTGGGTGACAAATTAAATATCTTTATGACTTGCCCTGAGGTACTGCAAAGTCCCTACACTATATCTTGCATGCGCATTGATAAATGGTCGTTTTATCAAATTACTACTGGTTGAGTGCACCATCCATTATCAGAGAGAGGGAGAGAGAAGAAAAGAAGATCGAAGAGGAGGAAGATAGGAGGAGAGGAGGAGAGGAGAGGAGAGAGGGAAGAGGGTGGAGGAGAGTGGAAGGGGAAGGGAGGAAGAGGGAGAAGATTTGATTCTGTGGAAAAGAAAATGAAGGATTCTGCTAAATTTCAATAGTGTAAATAGTAAGATTATTATAAATAGTAATATAATACAGAGTAGGATAGTATATTATTATTGTAGTTATTTGAGATTTTTTTGTTTGTTTTCAGGAAGTAGTAAAAAGGCCTGGCAGCCATTCAATCAATGTAGCTATATAACTGTTTCTCTTTCTCTATTGCTCCTGGTCCTTGCTATCTTTTATAGCTCCGTAAGATGGAAATAACAACATCCGAAAAGTTCCACTTTAGTCATTCGTGTAGAAGCCATCCCCTGCACTCCCATGTGCAAGCGTTCCTTTGTTCTCTGTCTTCTTACTAGCGCATCGATTCTGGCCTCTCCTTTCATTGTGAGATAGGGCCAAAGATATGGTTTGTACTGGACATCACATTCCTTCGCACTCACTTTGTGGCAATCTCACACTGGGCTCCTATTACTCAGAGAGGGAGGGCTGTCATTGCAAAATACCACAGGCTGGGGTGGTTTAAATAACAGAAATTTATTTTCTCACAGTTCTGGAGATTAGAAGTGTGAGATCAAGTTTCCCAAAGGGCTGCTTTCTGGTAAGATCTCTCTTCCTAGGTTGTAGAAGGCTGTCTTTTCAGAGTGTCCTCACATAGCCTTCTTGAGTGTATGCACACAGATATCTCTGGTGTCTTTTCCTCTTTTGTAAGGACCCCATTTCTACTGGATTAGAGGCCCACTCTTATAACCTCCTTTAATCATAATTATCTCCCTAAAGGCCCAATCTCCAATATATAGTCACATTGGGTGTTAGGGTTCAATAAATGAATTTTAGGAGTACACAATCTAGTCCATAAAAGACTGGTACCAAAAACTTGAAAAAGGCATAAACTGGAGCTTGAGAATTTCCTACAGGATAGTGTTATGATTACTTTTGTTTTGAGCATAAACTAATGGAAAAACTAAAATTATATTTAGCATTGGAATTTTTAAGAATTTTGTATAAAAGTTTATAAGTAAGTAGACAAGTTCCTTTTGGAGAATCTACTTAGGACAATAGCTGTCAAATAATACAGTAGCTGCCATTTATTAAGGCCTCTTATATGCCAATCACTAGTATTCCTTTGTTGTACATGTGATTATTTTCTATAAATATGTCTGTCATGTTTGCTTTGTAAAAACTTCTAGTCTCTAGTATTAGAAATCAAGATACTACATATGCATTTTAGATAAAGTTTTTTAATACTGTTCAAACTATCTCAATTTTTGGTCTGATAAGTTAATTATCCAGGTATGATATTTGTTTTATGCATCTTAGTTTGCTATATATGAGCTCAGGTTTAATATATAATGCTAGTAAATTTTGTTTCATTCTAAATAATAAATCACTTAAAATCCATATCTACCTGAAGAACATTTTGTTGCTTTATACTATTGATGCATCAAATTTCCTTTGGTGAAATATTTGTTTCTTTTTCTTACTCTTTAGGGTTAAAATCTCTGTGGCATTATATATGGGTGTGAAACTTATAAAGAGAAAACAATATGATAATTCTTATTTTTAATAGTTGAAATTAAAATATTTTGTTTTTATTATTGCTGTTTGAAATTACTAATAACATTATTTGTGTGATATTTTTATGCCTTTTAAATAATTTTGTATCACATGGAGTGCACAAATCTTAAGTGCTTTGATGCAGTTTTATATGTATATACATATATGTATGTATAGAATATTTATTTACACATATATACACATTCTTATACATAATTTACTTATAATATGATATGTACATACATATATACACACATATTTGTGAAGTGTGTGTGTGACACATATCTTCATAACTATTATACTGTACAAAATATAGGATATTTTTATCACCCAGGAAGTTCTCTCCAGCAAGTTTTCAGGCATTGCCTCCCAACAATTTGTAACTTCTATTATGACTTTTAACAAAATGGTATATCTTTACCTACATGTTAAAATGGCATAATAAAATAAATATTCTTTTGTTCCTGGTTTATTTTGCTCAATATAGAGTTTTTTAGATCTATCAACGTTGAGTATATCACAGTAGTTTTTTGTGTGTTTTTATTGCTTACATTATGTCACTATACCACACATATTGATCCATTTCATTGTTAGGAGGACTAGGATTGTTAAGATGTCAATGTCCCTCAAATTGATATAAAGATTCAGTGCAAAATTAATCAGAATCCAAGAAGTTTTCCTTGAAATTGACAAGCTAATTTTAAAATGGAAATGCAGAAAACTTAGAATACCTAAATCAGTCTGAAGTAGTAGTAGTGGTAGGGTTTACACTACCATTTTTGATGGTTTAACATAAAACTGTAGTTATTAAGACAATGTGTTGTTGGCTGAAGTACAGAAAAAAAAACCAATGATAACAAAAGAGTCCAAAAAGAGGCTTAGAAATAAGATGCCCTATTTTAATACCAGGGGCACCACTAGGGGGTTAGGTAGGGAGAGTGGTGAGTGTTTAACCTGAGAAGGCAGAGCTTCAACTGTTTGCTTCAATATTTCACTCCAGTGAATATCGGCTGCTGCTGATTTTTCCAACGAAAGATCTGGCAATGATTATCCCAATGAAAAAAATGTGGAGAATAAGAAAAAATAGTTGAGCCTGGCCAGGCGTGGCTCAGCGGCTGAGCATCAAGCTAGGATCCAGGAGATCGCAGTTTGATTCCTGGTCAGGGCACATGCCCAGTTTGCGGGCTCGACCCCCAGTCGGGGGTGCAGGAGGCAGCCGATCAATGACTCTCATCACTGATGTTTCTGTCTCTCTCTCTCCTCTCCCTTCTTCTCTCTGAAATCAATAGATCTATTGAAAAAAAAAAAAAAAAGAATAGTAGAAAAATCTTCTCTGATTCCTCCTCTCTCTGTAGAGACCACTGCCTTCTGCCCATGAGCCACATACTTTCCAGTAAGTGAGGGCATTTTTTTTTCTTCTTGGGAGCTAACCTTCCTTTAGGGAGAATGGGTTCTGCTCTGATTTTGTTAATCGATGAAGGCCCTGATCCACATGAGAATCTTACAGTTTGTCAGTGTTGCATGTGACTGGGGAAATCAGCCAAAAGCTGGGTAAATCCACCTTTTGGGACTAGGTAATGGCTTGCCCATAGACATAAGTCACATTTTCAAAACTATCATATGTAAATTTTAAAGCTGATTGATTCATCCTATCACATCTTCACTTAGCTTCATTTGTTCACTGAAATAAGAGTATTCTGCATTGCCTCCCTCAAATTCCAGCAGACATTGTACAAACACACACAAAATAAAAAAGCAAGTTCTACATGTCAGAATAACCACAGCATTATGAAAGAGGAGCAAAAATATACAATTTTAAATACACCTAGATTTCCTACTAAGATAAATAATGCCAATTAGGGCATTTGACTGTTATTTTTCACCTGTGCCCTACAAAGAATTTTAAGGCAATTTATAGTTTCCAAAGTTTATTTTAATCTGGTTCATAATTATGTTAGCTACATAATTAAGAAAATGATGAAAATCTAAGCTTGAAGTTAAAATCAATTAATGGTTAAATACTGGGCACATGAAAATTTATGAGCATCTTATAAGCTTAAATAGATCACTACATTAACTTTCTTAAAAGGATATTTTGAACTCATGAGATGAAATGGCAAAAATTTTATGTGTATTAAGTTCAATGAAGACTTTCTATAGTTCAAACATTTCTCTCAGCAACAGGGAAAAATATTAATATATTCATTATGCAAATATTAATATACCTAGAAATAATTTAAAAATATTTAATTATATATGATCTAAACAGCATTCTATTTATATATTTTAGCCAAGTAGATTATACCAACCAGAACAATACTTCCTCCATATTGTCTATCGCACATCTTTCCTTGAAAGGATGCACCAACGTAATCTGAGATTTCTCTGTAACTTAAGTTTTAAAAAAACATAATCACAAATTAAACTAAACACAATTAATATTAAATTTACCAATTTTTAAAAATATTTATATAATATATTCATAGGCATTTCCATGTAACATTAAAGTAACAAAGCATAGGAAGTAACTAAATGTGTCTGCTTCTTTTGGAAACAATAAAATAGATTTTAAAACAAATATTATAAAGTGTATAATCATATGGATTTTTTAAAAATAGAAGATTTTGTTTTATGTAGCATTCATTAAATAATAAAATATTCCTAAGTGATCAAAATTAGAAAATGAAATAAAATTTCTTAAAATTAAGAAAATAAGGCAATGCAGTTGATAAATAGGAAGAGTCGCCTTATGGACTGAAGTTTCCTTTTAAAAAGATAGAATTAGCTCAACCAGAAGTTGAGCGTAAACCTATGACCCTGGAGACCATGGTTCAGTTCTCAGTCAAGGCACATGCCCAGGTTGTGGGCTCCATCCCTAGCATGGGGTGTGCAGGAGGCAGCTGATCAGTGACTCTCATCATTGATGTCTCTCTCTCTCTCTCTCCCCCCTTCCTCTCTCTGAAATCAATAAAGATATATTTTTTAAAAAGATAGAATTAGCTTCCCAAAGTTATGCAAAGTTGTAGCATATTTGAGGGGCAGAAAATAACAAAAAAGATTATTTTTAAATATATAGGGTGTCCCCAAAAATGTATACACACACTTTGAATAAGTATAAAGACAGTTTTTATTAAAATACATGTCAGCCTAGCCCATATGGCTCAATGGTTGAGCACTGGCCCATGAACCAAGAGATCCCTGGTTTGATTCCCAGTCAGGGCACATGCCCAGGATCCGGGCTCTGCCCCCAGTAGGGAGCGTGCAGAAGGCAGCCAATAGATGTCTCTTTCTCATCGATGTTTCTATCTCTCTCTCCCCCTCCTTTCCTCTCTTTGTAAAATCATTAAAAACATATTTAATAAAAATAAAACAAAATGCATTTCATTTTCAAAATTGAGTTATCAGATGTTAATGTGTGTATACATTTTTTGGGAGACACTATGTAATTTAATTTAATTTAATAATATATGTAGGTTCTGGACATTGATTAAAAAAAAAGGGTATTAAATAGAGATTCTTCTGCTTTTTAAAAGGAAACATAATGTGAATGTGGTATGTTAGAAATGTTTAAATATACAACAGTGTTTCCATTTCCTTGTTATTTTTGTTTTATGGAAATAAAGCGTAAGAAGAAACCCAAATTACTATATTCATAGAAGTCAGGAACATTTCTTCAGATAGATATTATTAGTATTTTATGTGTAGCTAGGGTTATTATACTATAAGGTAAGAAGGCAAGATCAAAGGAGTAAATTTTAAATACAAACAGCGTGATATCAATAATTCTATAAAACCCACGTTGTGAAAAATATTCACATGATGTATGTAAGAAAAATGGCACAAGATTTTTTTTCCCTAAAGTATTGTCAACTGTCAAAAAGTAGGTTAAATATGGGTATGCTTTCTTTGTATAAGATTTAGTAATGCCAAGATATGCTTACACAAGTAAAAATGCCATATCATGTGGACGCAAAACGAGATAAGATCTTTTCCATTTTAAAAATCTGTGTAATAATTCATCAACATCTCCAATTACTGAAATTTTATTTTCATCTATCCAAAGCTCCAATGAAGATAGAATTATCGTAATACTAAATGGCGTAAAAATCTAAAATAGAACACATAAAGAAAATATATTCAAATATCATGGTCTAAATAGATTTGGAAATTAAATGTGAAAATAAACACTATCCTGATGACAAATATTAAACAACTGAACTGTAAGTTTGTTCTGAATCTTATAAATAATACATACTACTAATGAAACAAGTTATAATTAACATTTGAAAAGTCTGTCCTTAAGCATGCCCCAAGTCAAGTGCTATCTTTAATCTTTACAATAACCTAATTAAGTATATGCAATAACTGATATTATTTCTATTAAACAGCTAGAAAACTGAAACTTAAAATGGTTGTATAATTTTCTCTACTTACACAAGAAGTGTATTCAGGCAGTGTCATAAAAGAAATGACAGGAATTTTTTAAGTAACACAAGCAAATGCAAAAGTTCTAAAAGACAAACACTTACAGCATTAGTCAATGCAATTAACTGGAAAATTTTCTGAGTGACAACAGCTGTATCAGAACCCATATGATTATACTGAAAAAGATAATCACACATTTTAGATCTAAATATATTTAATATTTAATGATTGTTGTTTTGTTTAAATTTTAATATAGTGGCTTTGAAATGTTTAAGCTACTAATTATTAGTTTTTAAATATAAAACATTATAGAAATAATATGATATTCAGTGTGAGAAATAGGATATATAAAAAAGGACACTACAAAATTCCAAAAATAGAAGAGGAGAGACATTCCCAAAGCTATTTTACATGGCCAGCATTACCCTGACACCAAAATCAGACAAGGGCACTACAAAAAAGGATTACAGGTCAATATCTCTGATGAACGTAGATTTAAAAATTCTCAATAAAATGTTAGCTTACTGAGATCAACAGCACATTTAAAAGGATCATATACCATGAGGAAGTAGGATTTATACCATGGATGCAAAAATGGTTCAACATTCAGAAACCAGTTAATGTGATACATTACAAAATGAAGAAAAAAATCATATAATCATCTCAATTGATATATAAAGAGCATTTTACAGAATTCAACATCTTTTCATAATAATAACTCTCAAATAAAATATGTATAGAAAGAACATGCTTCAACATAATAAAGACCCTAGATGACAGGCCTACAGCCAAGATCATAATCAATGGTGAAAAGCTGAAAACGTTTCCCTTTCAATCAGTGACAATACAAGGATGCCTAGTCTCACCACTTTTACATAGCACAAATTGAAATCTTAGCCAGAGAAATTAGGCAAGAAAAATAGTTAAAACACATTCAAATGAGAAAGGAAGAAGTGAAACTGTCACTATTTGCAGGTGCCATGTTACATATAGAAAGCCCCAAACTCATCACCACAAAAGTGTTAGAACTAGTAAACAAAGATAGTAAAGTTGCAGGATAAAAAAATGAATATACAAAAATAGGTTTCATTTTCATATATTAATAGAAAACTGTCAGAAAGAAAAATTAAGAAGAAAATCCCATTTACAATGACATCAAAAAGAATGAAATACCCAGGAATAAACGTAATCACGGAGGTAAAGGATCTGTATACTGAAAACTATAAGATATTGATGAAAGAACTGAAAAACACACACAAATGAATGCAAATATATTCAATGCTCAGGGGTTAATATTGTTAAAATGTTTATACTACACAAAACAAACTACAGATTTGATGTAATCACTATCAAAATTTCAATGTCAACTAGGAGTCATAGAACCTTCATTGTGAAAGGACAAGATGGTTTGAGAGATTTAAGAGTAAGAACTTCAAAGTGTTTGATCTCACTTGTATGCAAAAAATTTTTAGATCCACCTCAGCTGACATCTAACTTGAGAGCAAGCCCAACTAATCACTGAAGGACTGCCCTGGCACAGAGCCAATCTGCAAAATGTGCAAGAAGTGTTTTTTTCCAATGCTGAATTTTCAACAAAAATCACAAGGTTCCTTAGTCAGCCTGAGATGTTATAACAAAAATATTATAGACTAGGTGCCTAAACAACAAACATTTATCTCTCTCAGTTCTGGAAATATCATTTAGTGTTTGATGAAAATTATTTTCCTGGTTCATAAATGGCCATCTTGAGGGAATCTGGAGTCTCTTTTATAAGGGTCTTAATCTCCTTCATAAGAGCTACATATCAATGACTCCAGCCACTCTCAAAGGCCCCACCCTCCAAACACTATCAAATTATATTAGATTTTGATATGCATTTCAAAGAAACACAAACATTAATTTATATTATGAGGCAAACAAAAAGAAAGAAAGAAACAAACAAAAAAGTATGTCCCAAAGGAACAAGATAAATTGGGAGAAACCATCCTTGAGGAAATGCAGATGTACCAAAGTCTTTAAAACAACTAAAATATGCTCAAAGAACTAAAGGAAAACACAGGCTAAGAGAAATCAGGAAAATTACATATAAACAAAATGAGATTGTCAACAAAAAATATAGAAACTATAAAAAAAAAACACAAATAAATTCTGGAGCTCTAAAATGCAATAATTGAGCTGAAAATTCACTAGAAATTTTCAACAGATTTGAAGAGGCAGGACAAAGAATCAACAAACTTGCAGAGAGGACAATTGAAATTATAGAGTCTAAAGACCAGAAAGAAAAAAAGAGACACTTGTGAAACACCATTAAGCAAAAAAAATGTATGAATTATGGGAGTCCCAGAAAAAGAAGAGAGATTATTTGAAGAAAAAAATAATTGCTGATATAAATTGACGTAAGGCAAATAAATCAGAATATACTTACCAAATTTTTTTCAACTACAATATGTGTTTCTATATACTTAAGGAAATCTGCAGCTGGCTGAAAAAAATCCACATGAAAATTAAATAATGGCTTAAATATATTAGTGTTTATCACTACTTCATGAGTTCATTGCTGAAAAATCCAACTTTATATTTAAAAATAGAACCACATAATATAACCAAAATGAGGTATCAAAGAATGATTTTCAGAATATTTCCCTTGTCACCTCTTTTGCAGCTGATCGACCATTTAATTTACTCAGAAAGTAACTTTCCTCTACCTTCCATTCTGTATATTTTCATTGGTTTTGAGCAATTTATATTATTTGCTTTTCTGGAAAAAAAAAAAAAAAAAAAAACACAAAAAAAAACCCTTCCATTGACTCATTAAAAAATGTGGGAATTTTTTTATTAGCTTAATGATGCAATTATGCATTAATTACTATGTGGTATGGTTTTATCTATGACCCTGAAAGTGTAAGTAGCCAACTGTCAGTTTAGAGGGGTGATATTTCACCTGAAGGATAAAGTTAATCCTTGTGTGAATCACCTCAGGCAAAGGTGAGCAACAGAGAATCAAAATGAGTAACTCTCTTAAACTGCACCATGGATATCTCAAAATATAGGTCCTGGGTAGGATGTCATCTACCTGGAGTGCAGTGGGTAAGGGAGGCAAAAATGCGAGGCCCGGTGGGATTTGAACTCTGGCTGATCATTTTTGTGACTTAGGCTCTGCCAAAAAACGAGGACAAAAAAATGATTATTTTCATGCTTATTTTTACCTGAAGATAACCTAGGAGGAATGCCCTAAGGAAAACTTGTAAGGCAGACTTTGTGAATCCTTTAAGACTATAGCATTGATAACTCAAAATATCTTGTTACTAAAATAACATAACTGCAAATACTGGACAAATATCCAGAAGCAGAAAAGGAGGATGACATTTCAGAAACTGAGGGAGCTTTTTTTATATTTTATTTTAATGTCCATAGGTTTTATTTTTCACATTGAAGTTTAAAATTTTCCCATTTTAGCAAAATAACTTTCCTTAATGCATTAATCTGAATATTAGGGAATATGAGATTTAGTAGAGATCAGAAAAATGACGGTTACAGTAATTTAAAGAAAAAAGAAAAATTGAGCCCAGCTGGCATGCTCAGTGGTTGAGGGTCGACCCATGAACCAGGAGGTCAGGGTTCGATTCCCGGTCAGGGCACATGCCCAGGTTGTGGGCTCCATCCCCAGTAGGGGGCGTGCAGGAGGCATCCGATCAATGACTCATCATTGATGTTTCTATATCTCTCTCCCTCTTTTTCTGTTTCTGAAATCAATAAAAACACATAATTTTTTTTTTTTTAAAGTTGAGAAAGATCAGGAAGACAAATTTAAGGGTGATTGATCACTCATTTTCATCCATTTTAAAATTCTATTTCTTGGCCCACACCTTGGAGATTTCAGGGTTGTTGTTTTTTTTAAAAAAATGCAGATGAAATGCCCTTATGGTCTAACTTGTTTTTTTTTTAACCATTTCCATTCAAAATTAAGCACAAAATATTTCATGATAGTTTGGCTTATAGGGCTTCATCTGTTCATTAAACTCCCTAAACAAGAAAATAACACTCCTTTACTGGAAGGTAAGCATAAACATTTAAATTAAATGAGACAAACCATGTATTAATAGATTGAAGAATTCAAAACCATTTCTTCATTTTCATCAACATGTATTAGTTGTCTAACATTCCCTGGATTCTGGTTCACTTTCTCTTTGAGATTGGGATTGGCTATATTTAGCTAATAATATATTCATTCACTTAATGAACAATAAAGTTTTATGGGATAAAGATACAGTCTATTTTAGCCCAATAAATTTAAGAAAAAGTTACATAAAAGAATGCCATGAAATGTGTCTGTTGAAAGGTGATATTTCAAACAACCTCAAAAGCCACTTTATGTAGTAAGAGAATGTGGCCGTATAATTAGACAAATTGCTTAGATATCTATTATATGAAGATAACTTAATTGCAGTAAAGTTTTCTTTGGTCAAGTAAATACTAAGGAATTGGTATTCAAATAATAAGACTTGTAAAAATAAATTTAACAAAATAAGCTTGACAACTTGAAGACTGAACTATGCAAAACAATGAAGAAAAATATTAAAGAAAATCTAAAAAAAAAAAAGCTATTCAATGTTCATAGATAGCAAGAGTTAATATTGTTCAATGGCAATATCCCCCAGGTAAATCTACAGAATCAATACAATCCCAGGTGGCATTTTTAGGAAACTGAAATAAATTTTAAAATTCATTTAGAATTTCATAACAACAAGAATAGCCAGAACAATATCAAAAAAGAAGAATTCACACTTACTGATTCCAAAACTTACTTGAGAGGTATAGTAATAAAAAAGGTGTGGCTCTGGCTTAAGAATAAGCATAAAGATCAATGGAATATAATTGCAATTGTGGAAATAGTCCCTAACATTTATGGTCAATTGATCTTTGAGAAAAATAAAAAAGGCCATGAAAATTCAATAGAACAAAAAATAGTCTTTAACAAATGGTGTTGGGAAAATTAGAAATCCATATGAAGAATAACAAATTTAGAATCTTAGGTCACTCCCTACAAAAATTCAATTGAATCACACATCAAAATTCAATAGATTAAACAATAAAACTTATGAAAGAAATATAGAAATAAATTTTGTAGCCCTCGTGAGATAGTTAATTTTATCTGTCAACTAGACTGTGTCACAATGTCCAGATATACATTAATGTTTGTGTACATATATGCACACATACATATTTATATATATCCTGTTGGTTCTGTTTCTCTGGAAAAACATCTGCCCTGAAATAAACCTTTACCTACTATAACTACAGATCAGAGATGGTTGGAAACTAAACCCAGAATCTCATTCTATGAGTAGATTCATTACAACATGAACTGAATTTTCAACATCCCATGGTGTCTACTGTTAAAGTGAGGGTATTAATTGTGAAAAAATTAGATCCTGAAAATTGGAATGGGGACATATGGGACGTTTCTGATGAATCTGTGGTCACTGAACCCTTAAATTCTGGAGTCTCCTTTGCCAGTAGGAGCAGCTTCTCCATCCTTGCATTAAGAAATTGACCCTGCATCCTGAGGAAAATGTAATGGCTGCCCCTGAGGCAACTGCCTTAGAAGAAGACCCTAGTGCTTCTCCTCAGCAAATACCTTCAATATTTATGTGAATGGCATTTGTATTTATTATATCAAAATTTTCACATAACGGATATGGAGAAAGGAGAACATCTGTAGACAATAAAGGCCTAGATGATAAGGGGAAAAACTGCCACTAACAGTGAAAAATGAACAGCTTGTAGTTCTGGAAATTTGAATGACTATTTTTAAGGCTTATAATATTAAGTGATAAAGTTTCTGGTACATCTAGCACATTTATCTATCTATGTAACTATCTGTCTATCTATCTCTATCTATCTATCTATCTATCTATCTATCTATCTATCTATCATCTATCTATCATCTATCATATTTATTAATATAAATAATTTTTCAGAAGAAATACATTGTTTATACTGATGAATAGTAATAGCCATATAGTTAATGAATCACCTACCTGCATACTGTATATTTTATAAGATATTTCTCTTGTCTCAGTATCCTCCTCAGCATATAAAGAGGCACCTGTTTTCTTAGGACTTACTTGATAAACCACATGTTCAAAACCAATTGAAGGTTCCAAGGGCTCAATTGCGTAACTTACATTTTCAAACTGTAGCAAGCCCCTATGAATTTCAAAACACATTTTTTTTAAAGCACATAAAATGTCATTTAGTCAAGTTTTTGTTTAATTGTATGTAGATAATATTCAGTCTTAGTTTTAGGTGGTAAAGTAGGAAAAAAATGCCTAAGTATCCACAAACTTACTGAGTGGTACTGAATAGCAATGCTATTGGTATTTATGTAGCTATTGATATTTCATTGTCTCCAAATATATCAAAAATATTAATTCAGAATAAAGGTAGGAGGCATCACAAGAATTTCCATATTATGCTTTTCCAAAGACAGTTTTCCACAATAAGGCATGGCTCATGTTAGAATCCTTGAATATAATTTTTAATATTTTCAAATTATTTCTAAAATAATACTCCATTTTGTAGTTATAAAATTATATATCACAACCTGAGTCCAGTACATGTGCTAAGGATCACCATAGAATTTGAATATCCTTCAATATGCCCTTGGAAGTAGCAAAAATTCTGAAAAAAAAGATAAAATACATGTATATCTATTAGAATAACTCATGTTAAAGGTAATATTTTCAAATATTTAAAACAAAAGTTAATTTGTGCATATGTGTCAAAGACTCCTTGTTTTTAAAATAGATTTAAAGGATTATTAGATGAGCATTTGGCTCAATTATCCAAAAATTTTCCCACAGGTTCAAAAAGAACTAGTACAATTTCATATTTTTTTCCTGTTATAAATTAAATATGACATTCTTGGTCATTAGAATCAAAGTAAAAATCATGCAGAACATGTTTTTTCATACTCTATTGACTTAATTTTGCACAAACAAAAATGAATCCAAGAGAAATTTTTCTTTTCAAAATTATTTGAGTGTAGTAGCAGAATAACTTGCATTGGATTAACTCTCTCACCAATTACAAATATAAACTCTGGAAAAATAATTTTAAAATCCAACTACAAAGGCAGGCAGGAAAAAGTAAGAGAAGGGAATCAACACTAGAAAGAAAAGCATGGTATTTACTTTACATTTATATTGGTTTTCACCTGAAGGCACTCCCCAAAGCAGAGCAACACAGGGAACTAAAGTTCCAACAAAGAATTCAATCTTATTGACCATGTTTTCAAGTTCTTAGAAATTGAGGTGCCATATCCAGGAAAGGAAGGAGGCACAGAGTGAGGCCCAAGAATGTGTGTTATTAACTCAGGTCTAAATTCTTTATTTACATCTGAACTGAGAATATTTGAAAGAGGTCTCAAGTAGCTTAGCAGAAACTAACTGAGAAGACATTTGGGTGTTTCTGAACACAAGAAGGTAGTTTTGAAAGTGACTCCAGCAAAGTTCATTATCTGATGGAATAAAAATGAAAACCCTTCAGAGACAAGAATCACAGACTCAAGAAACTATCAATGAAGATGGCCCGTATGATTTTAAAATAGTAGATGTGTCAATGTGGCTCATAATCAAGAGAAATATCAGAAAAAGAACTGACCCTGAAATAATCCATGAGTTTGTAATTAGTGGGGGGGGGGGGGG